ACGCAGCTCATTTACACAGTTTTCCTGAAGATAGAAGAGTTTGTTGAATCTGACGTGGAGACATGTTCGTATGAACCCTTCATATGAACAGAAGTAAGAGATCCATGATAAGAACATGTTTTTGCTTGAGGCCCAATAAATCTAAAAGGATTTTGAATATCAAAACTTAATTCCAAAGATTAACAAGTATATTTTGTTTAAAAATGGGTATAATGTTGGTGTAAGTTATTTTGAAGATAGAAGAGTTTGTTGAATCTGACGTGGAGACATGTTCGTATGAACCCTTCATATGAACAGAAGTAAGAGATTTAGGATAAGAACATGTTTTTGCTTGAGGCCCAATAAATCTAAAAGGATTTTGAATATCAAAACTTAATTCCAAAGATTAACAAGTATATTTTGTTTAAAAATATGTAAAAATGTTGGTGTAAGTTATTTTGAAAATGTATGAGTCAATATTTAAAAYTGTTTTTAGTTTTGAAAGAAGCACAAAGCTGTTAACAACTAGGCTGTTAACACTGCTAGTCTATAACACTGGGTTACAAAAGTATCCACTCCTTTGCCTTGCAACCTGAAATTCTAAAATTTATTAATATAGCTAGGAGTTTGACTAAATTAGTCTGCCTTTGATGAATMATTTAAAAAATAYGGATGTTKTGCTTGTTCMTTTTCCTGTTGGTGGGGTGTGATCTTTGTAAGATTCACTCCGGAGCAACTCTGGCATCTGGCAAATATAGGATTGAACCATTTTGGCGGATCACTGTCTGCTCGCCTCCACCCTGCAGAGCCAATGCTCTCATTGATTAAAATGGTTACATTTGTAGTGCAGAGGTCAGACMGGAGTGGRGTGGAACCACATCCAGTGTAAATTGGGAGTTAAAAAGAAAGATAAATCCCATGAAATATGGAGAAATCTTTGAAGGAAACTTGAGTTGGTGCTTCACCTTTCAGAAAGGCTGATTCAAAACACTGCTGAAGCTGTAAGTGGAGCAGTTTCACAAAGGAAAATGGGCAACAATTTCTGTGTCTAGATGTACAAAGTTCATAGAGACACACGAGAAAAGGCTCCACAGCTGAAACTGTTACCAAAGATAGTTTTTCAACATAGTGATGGGGGCTGGGGTGTCATTAATTGTGCTTGCTCTTTATGATTTATTTTTTAATTGTGACAATGTTTTAAAAAGTATTTTCATCTTTAAAGTGGCAGTTGTGTGAACGAGGAGCTACAATACCTCAAAACATATTTTAAATTTAATGTTGTTTATGTAACAAAAAGATAAAAAAAAAAAAAATAAAAAAGATAAATAGGTTTTTTGGATGGGCTCTTCTTTAATGAAACGTTTTGTTTCTCCTCCAAGAGGAGAATCTGTCAGAGGACCTACCAGAGGTGATTACTCTAAGACTGCAAGGGAAGCTCAGCTTCCCCTAAAATGTAAAAAAAAAAAAAAAGTGACCAAATACACACTGTTGTGTGTTCATGTCACTGACTAAATATGTGCTACAACACACTCAACTTTTGTTCAGAACCAGCTTCTTATCACAGTAACGACACAGCTTTCCTCTCCTCATTCCTGCAGCTTCACAGCTTTAAACAGTCGGACGCTGAGCGTCTGCAGAGCTCATTAGTGATGCAAAGACTGCAGCTAAACGAGACGACTCATTGGATAAATGCTGAGCTTTGTCCTGCCCCCGGACGCTCAGCGTCTCTGGGGGTCTATGGGGCAGTGGGCTGACCTCGGTTGGCCGGACGCTCAGCTTCTTCATGATGATTGGATGATCTGTCTGGGCCTGAATCCCTTTTTGATTGACAGCGAAATGAGCGAATCAGAGATCTTTAGGTGTAAACATTCAGTGGAGCAGTTTTTAGTTTCATTCTGTTCTGAGTTGAACCGGAGACTTAATTAATCCTTTTAGCTGCATTGTTTTTTGTTAAAAATGACTAGTGACAAATCAAGCCTCTGTTTCTGGTGGTTGTTTTGTAGTTGCTTGTGTTTGGAGACGGACTTCTATCACTCGTTCTGACTTCTTTGCATCTTGAGGGTCTTGAAAAGTGCTATATAAGACTAATGTATCATCA